ACGGCCTACCTGCTTCTATATGTTGATGACATTGTACTCACGGCATCCTCCCCGGCACTGCTCTAGAGCCTCATTCAGCAGCTCAAGGCTGAATTCTCCATGACAGACATGGGCGACCTGCATTTTTTCTATGGGATCAATGTTCAGCGCACAGCCACCGACCTCTTCCTCCACCAGACTCAGTTTACTCATGATATCCTTCAGCGGGCAGGGATGGTCTCTTTCCGCCCCATCTCTATCTCGGTGGACATGAAGGCAAAACTATCTAGCACAGCTGGCTCGGCACTCTCCGACTTGTCCTTTTACAGGTCCATTGTTGGTGCACTGCAGTATCTCACCTTCACTCGTCCCGATATCACATATGCAGTTCAACAGCTCTACCTACATCTCCATGCTCCACGCGATGCACATCTTACTGCCATGAAGCGCGTTCTTCGCTATCTCAGTGGCACTGCCACCCACGGGATCCATCTGACACGATCCGCCACCGATTATTGACAGGCTTATTCCGATGCTGATTGGGCTGGCTGCCCTGACACTAGACGCTCGACATCACGTTACTGTGTTTTTCTGGGTGACAATCTCGTTTCCTGGTCTTCTAAACGCCAGGCCACCACCTCTCGTTCTAGCGCCGAGGGAGAATATTAGGCTGTCGCCAATGCCGTTGCAGAGACCTGCTGGATCCGGAATCTTCTTCTTGAGCTGCAACAACCACTCCGTAGCGCCACACTAGTCTTCTGTGACAATGTCAGTGCTGTTTACCTATCATCAAATCCAGTGCAACATCAGTGCACCAAGCACGTCGAGGTTGATATACACTTTGTACGCAATAAAGTGGCTCTTGGCCAGATCAAAGTCCTTCATGTTCCTTCATCCTCTCAGTTCGCCGATATCTTCACAAAAGGACCGCCCTCTCTCTTATTTCTAGACTTCAGAGAAAGCCTGGGTATCCAACCCCTAGCACATTCGACATAGCTGGGAGCATGTTAAATATATAAAATATATTTAATATTATTGTATTATGATTTGTTTCCATACTTGTATAGCTTACCTAGAATACATCTCCTACCATAACTAGGATTGAGATGTTGTATATATACATGTACTCCTCACATAATTAATCAAGGGAAAATCATAATTCTTCAACGTTCAAATTTCGGCATCAATTACTTCATTTTCTTTAGGGCTAAAATCCACGTATGGTCCTTCAACTTTTTGAGATGTGCACCGTTGGTCCTTCAAATTTTTTATATCCATAAATAGTCCTTCAACTAATACTCTAGCTGCACACGCGATATACCTAGAGTATTAGTTGAAGGACTATTTATGGGTATAAAAAACTTGAAGGAACAATGGTGCATATCTCAAAAAGTTGAAAGACCATACGTGGATTTTAGCCTTTTCTTTAGTTTTGCAATTAAGGTTTTAAATCTATCTTCTTTTTATTGATACTCATATATGTCTCTTTATTAATTTCATCAATTTTGTAGTTTGATCTCAAAAACAAGTTTGGATTTTGTTTAGATCCCTTTTTAAAGTAAACCCTAATCAATCCATTTTATTTTGAGTGCTTAAAATGTTTTGATTTATTTGTTTACTCACTGATTTTTATTATTTATTTTGCAAATATAAGATATATTGGTGGAAGTCTATTGATAGATGATGATAAAGAGGACAAATCTCTTTCACCAATTGCTCATCATCTTCCTAGCCGCTGGCGCATGGTATATCTGAAGACTGAAATTTTAGCATTAATTTCTTCATTTATCTTTCATAAATAGGGTTTGAAAAATATTTTCTTTTCATTTATACTCTTTCGTTTCTTAAAACTCTTCCTCTTACATTTTTTTTGTTTTTCTTAAAACACTTCCCTTTTTCTATTAAAAAACCACTTTTACCCCTACTTTTTCATACCCTATCTATCACATCATACTTTTTTACTAACAACTAAACTATCACATCTTACTTTTACCCATCACATCAAGGGTAAAATTGGAAAGTCAACTATAATTTAACACTTCCTTATTTTTTCCCCAAAGTCAAAAGAGGAACCGTTTTGAGAAACGGAGGAAGTATATGTCACCATATCAATTTCATATTTCATCAGTTTGTAGTTTTATCTTCGAAAACAAGCTCGAGTTTTGTTTAGTGTTGATATTAATTTATCAATTTGTTATTTGGCTTGAAATCAATTAAGAGAGTTAATTTAACTCTCTTAATTGATTTCAAGCCTAGAGTCCACTAGACGGGTATCGAAGAAGCAAGAAGCAACTCGGGTATATATGTAGCTCCCAGTTTTCAATCCATCCGGTTTGGTTTATTTAAAAAATAATTTGATTTTTTTTTTCAAAAACTAAAATATTTCTAGGCATCAATGAGGGAATATTTAGAGAAAATACACTTTGGGAATAAAAAATATATCTGGAGACATGTTTTTGGGGTGCAAAACAAAGATTCAAACGAAACTTTCTACTTTTTTTTTTTAACAAATTCATATGAATGTTTCTTTATGATGTGATGAAAATAATGTTGACAATTTTATTTTAGATTATTGCACAAAAAAAGAAGCTCAAAGTCATGTGTTGTCCTTTACTTTATAACAGTTGCTGGTATATCATTTTTACTCAGCATTTATATGTTTAGTAATACATTTAGAAATTTTGTTTTCAAATAAGTAAATGCAATACATATGACAATGTTAATGAGTTATATGCTCTTTTATTAATTTAAAGCATTCTTGGCTAGGACTTTATTAGAAAATCTTTAGAATCTAGGGTTTAAAACGGTGAAATTGCGAAACTCTTCGCACTAAATCTTCTTTATAAAGTACTGAAGTATCTCAAGATGAATACTATATAAGGACTCTTGATGGTTCCTCTGTCAATTTTTGGGATGTTAATCACCCTAGGTTGGTAAATACGTATGACATGCCCTGCAATGTCGAATCTGCTTCGTTGGAACCTTAGTCAGGCAACAAGTTCATATAGCTGGTGGGGAAGATGAGTGGGTTCAATTCGTGCTTTTGATTTCCAAACAGGAAAAGTGGTTGGATGCATTACGAGTCACCATGGTCCGAACATGATGAGTTGGTATATGGTACATTCGGATGTACCTAGAAATAGGTACATCCCGGTAGTACTCATTCTGAAATAAAGTAGTACTCATTCTCGTACAAATATAAACATTCATTTCGAAATACGCAGTACTCATTCTGGCAAAGGTAATACTCATTTTAAAATAAATAAGTACTCATTTTTACACATTTGTCTAACATAATTATAATAAATAGCGTAGTGTTCATTATTAAAAAAAACAATACTCATTCTCAAATAAGGAAGTGTTCATTCTGAAATAAAGTATTGTTAAATTTTTTCACAATTAAAAAGTTCAGTACTATCATCAACTTCTTTCTCTATTCGATTTGTTCCTACTCATTTATACTATCTGAGCAAGGAGGATTTAAAACCCAGGTTTATTCATGTTTGTATTGAATAAGAATATGATAATTCTCATAAGTGCTGGTACTCCTTCTCAAATCTGCTGGTACTCATTGTCATATATAATAGTTATCATACATATGTTCTGGGCATTGGATAAAAAGTTTGCAAAATTTACAAAAATACCAGGATGTACCTAAAGGAAGGTACAGCTGGATGTACCATATAATTTGCCGAACATGATAAACTCAAAAACTTCCTCCTTTTGACTTCCAAACATGATAAAGTCAATTTTGAATAGATTTTACAATATGAAGATTTTTATAAGATTTTTTTTAGAATTTATAATTTTGTTTGTTTAGTGCTAGCAATTGGAAAAAAAATACCTTGTGTATAGAATGTGATAGAATTTACGATTGGATAGAGATAACTGGATTGGGTAATAAGACATTTGGACTGAACCACATTAAAAGATTGAATCCAGTCGATTAGTTAGTTCAACTTAAGAGCTTATATACCGATTATTTTGCTCTTGAACTTTCGATGTGCGATGACACATTCTAACACTCCCCCTCAAGTGGACAACCAGGGCATTTTGAATCTAACCGGTTGACCACTTGCAAATAAACTCCCATTCGCTTGATTTCTTTTTGAGCGCCAACACTTTAAGGACCACGGGCCGCTGGGTATGGACTTCCAGACGAGCAATCGTGTTAAACAGGCCACAGGCTGTTGGGTACATACTCCATACGGACAACTAGGCTAAAGATTAACGGGCCGCTAGGAATGAACGTCTAGACGGACACCTTGACAAATGAGGTGAGCCAAAACCTGCTCTGATATCATGATAGAATTTATGATGAGGTATTGATAACTGGATTGGGTGATAAGACACTTGTACTGAACCACATTAAAAGATTGAATCCAATTGATTAGTTAATTCAACTCAAGAGCTTATATACCGATTATTTTGCTCTTGAACTTTCGATGTGGAATGACACACTCTAAGAGAATGTACTACCAAAAAATAGATTATACTACTTTTTTTGTCATTTCACCTTTTTAATTACAATTAGTTCTTTTTAGATAATATTAATAATTTCCTATTTTGTACGGAGAGGGTAAAAAATCTAGTTACATATATGCGCACAAGCCTTTTACCATATTTGGTTCATTGATCGTCGAAATTAGACATCGTCTACACCATCTTCTTCGCCAAATATCTTATTTCCAGCACTCGTCGATCATCATTATCACATTCCTCATCTTATTCAAGATCATCATCATCTTTGTTTCCTTCTCCTTGTTGCCCGGGCAGAGCCGACGAAAAACAGGAGAAGCATCGACGATTTCCCCTCTCGTTTCGAAATTTGATCAAGGTGAGTATGTGGACATCTAACGCTCGATTATTTGTATGGATTTGAAATTCACGTACGTAATTTCGTATGATTGATTATGTGGAATTTAATAATTGTTTAGGGGAATGAGTTCATGGGTTTGTTCTAGCGTAGAAATGATAGATAGTGCTAATTCGTATACAGAGTTAACCGTAGATTCGTTTAGGTGATTTATTTGGTTATGATTCGAATTACGATTTATTATAAATATATTGTGTTATTGGAATTGATTGAATGAAGAAGGCCAAGTACGTTTTCTTACTCTAATTTGGGTGATTGTGTGCTAATAATCTCTAAATAAAAACATTATGCGTGTTGAAGGGTTTGGAACAGGAATCATACTCTGTTGTTTTCGTGCTTTCCCAATGTTAAACGGTACTTGCACCTAGATAGTCGGGGGTATGAGACCGACGGTACCAGGGTACCACATGACGGTACTAGGGTATCATAATAGGTATTGTGTCAGACCCCGTGCTGCCCTTTCTCTTGTTTGTGATACGGAGCGCACGACAGGGGAGGAAGACGAGGGAACCGAGGACTTTGATGGTGCGTTACGACATCAGCGTAGTGGACGCGAAAGGCGACAATTGGCGTGGTATAAAGATTACGTTATTTAATATTATCATTGTAATGTAGTATTTTAATATCCACTCGCTAAATATTCGAGGAAGCTCCCAAAGAAATGCCAAGAAATGGAGCAGCGAAAAGAACTTGGCAGTCCTATCTATTGCATCAAAGAATCCCTCTTTCAATCCCAATCGGCTTGTTGATAAATATTGCACATTATAGGAAGCCGCGTGGATGTTGAATAGAAACCCTAATTTCATATTTCCCTCTTCCGGAGTTTGGGGACGCTCGAAGTTCCTCTTATTGTGATACAAGTACGTATCATTTGGCACTCTCGTTGTCGTTGCTGTGTTGTCCATCAGATCATAGTCGTCGTTCGCGTGTTCCTGTCTCATCATGTCTTCTAGACAGTCTGCCGATGCCACACTCCAAGCCATGGGTGTACAATTGCAGACTCTGCGCGTGGATGTCGACACCAATATTAAAACCCTTAATGATTCGGTTTATCAGCTTCAACAGGATCTGGAGGTTGGTATTGAATCTCAATTTCAGTGTTTCCAGGCCATGCTCACTTCTGCCTTAGCCGGCCTCGGTGCAAATGTTTCAGGTTTCCGCTGGAAGCACCACTGTGTGATGGGTCTGAACCCTTACGGTGGTTATACAAGGTGGAGGAATACTTCAAGTTCTACAAGACGTCGGTCGAGGACCGCCTTCGTTGTATCGCCTTGATGCTCGAGGGTCCTGCGGCGGATTGGTTTCGTTGGCGAATGAATGGGAGGCTCATTACTAACTACGCCGATTTTGTGGAAAAGTTTAAACTCCGGTTCGATCCGCAACATTATGTCGATTATTTTGGGCAATTGGCGAATCTTCGCCAAACCGGCACCGTTATGGATTACCAGACCGCTTTTGAGCATATTCTCACGCATGTCACAGGAGCCTCCGAAGGTAATTTGATGTCATTATTTCATGCCGGACTTAAACCCTATTTGCAACATGAGATCGCACTCTTACGGCCGCCTTCCCTCTCTGCCTCTTTCGCGCTTGCTCGTGAATTGGAGGCCAAGCATGATACCCTCCTGCGTGCGGTTTCTACTCGGCCAAGTTCATGGTCTTCTTCCACACCATCGCGGTTCCCAGCTCCAGTGAAAGGCCCTCCCCCTCTCGACGACAATCCCCCGGCCAAACCTCTTCGTCCTGAAATTGTGGGGTCTACTCCGGTCCGTCGGTTACCATGGGCAGAACGCCGGGCAAAGGGATTGTGTTACAATTGTGACCAAAAGTGGTCCAAGACTCACCGGTGTCACCGCTTTCTGCTTTTGTGTGATGATGACGATGAGGAGCTACCGCTGGCCCCTACCGATGAGGCACACCCTATTGCTGCCGATATATCTTGTATGAATGCCATGGATGGCGTGGCTACGCCGCGGTCTCTTCGCTTGACTGGACGGGTGTCCAATTCCGACGTACATGTTCTCATCGACAGAGGTAATACCCACAACTTTGTCCACCCGAACTTTATTTCCCGATTACAGATTCCAGTTTTCATGGTGACGCCGTTCCGCGTTTACGTTGGTAATGGCGATTCCCTTCCGTGGGATAAACAATGTTTGGGATTGACACTGCGTTTGCAAGGCACGTCTTTTCCGGTTGACGTTTTTGTCTTACCCATTCACGGCCAAGACATCGTCCTAGGCGTCCAATGCCTACAGAAGCTCGGTCGTGTGACACACGATTATGCCTCCATGAAAATGGAATTCCTCTGGGAAAACAACCGAGTTCTGCTTAAGGGAGACACCTCACCCCTACAAGCCCTCACGTTGCATGCGTTGCATTCTCTACGCGCTGCTCGGGGAATTACAGATTGCTATGAACTCTATTGTCTGGCACCTACTGGTACGACTATGGATTAGTCTTCTCTTACCCCATCTGTCCAATTACTCCTACAGGAGTTCGCCCAAGTTTTCACTGAACCGACGGCCCTACCACCGCGCCGTAGTGTGGATCATCGCATCTTCTTGTTTCCTGGTTCTGCCCCGAACAATGTCTGGCCGTATAGATACCCTCACTTTCAAAAGGAAGAGATTGAGCGCCAGGTTCGAGATATGCTTACACGTGGCCTCATTCAATCGAGCCGGAGTCCATTTTCTTCACCAGTGCTCCTTGTCAAAAAGAAGGATGGGACATACCGTTTCTGTGTAGATTATCGAGCGTTGAATGCCATCACAGTCCCCGATCATTTTCCAATCCCGACAGCAGATGAACTCTTTGATGAATTAGGCCGGGCGCGTTGCTTTAGCAAGCTGGATCTTCGCTCTGGGTATCACCAAATTCGGATGTGGGATAGGGACGTCTACAAAACGGCTTTTCGTACCCATGAAGGGCATTACGAATTTTTAGTTTTGCCTTTCGGCTTAACTAATGCTCCTTCTACATTTCAAGCTTGCATGAACCGGGTATTTATGCCTTATTTGCGTAAATTCGTAATCGTGTTCTTTGATCATATTCTAATTTACAGCCCTACGGAGGAAGAACACAACCGCCACTTACGCACAGTCCTCTAGGTTCTGCTCGCGCATCAGTTTTATCTCAAGACCTCAAAGTGTACTTTCTGCACATGTTCCATCACTTATTTGGGGCATATTATCTCTACCGGTGTTTTGAAGGCCGATGCCTCAAAGATCGAGGCCATGGTTTCCTGGCCAACACCCACCACAACGAAACAATTACGTGGCTTCTTGGGCCTCACCGGCTATTACCGGCGTTTTGTACGGAATTACTCTCACATCGCAGCGCCCTTGGCGGAGTTGTTGAACGCCGATAAATTTCAATGGCCGCAGGAAGCTGCTTCGGCATTTGCAGCCCTCAAACATGCCATGACGACCACACCTGTCCTCCGTCTCCCGGATTTCACCATCCTTTTTGTTCTAGAGGCAGATGCTTGCTCCACCGGGATTGGGGCAGTCCTTCTCCAGTTAAAGCAGTCCGTGGCTTTTTTTAGCAAGAAGCTCGGCCCTCGGAAACTTGCAGCCTCCACTTATCGCAAAGAGCTCTTTGCTATCGTTGAGGCGGTTCAAAAATGGAGACAATATTTGTTGGGCCGAGAATTTCTTATCCGTACCGATCACCGAAGTCTAAAGGAGCTGCTTCTACAAGTGATCCAAACACCCGACCAGCAGTACTATGTTCGTAAACTTTTGGGGTTTCGATTTCGGATCGAGTACAAGACGGGGGCATCCAACCGTGTGGCGGATGCCTTATCACGCCGGGATGAAAGTCTTTCTCCATTGACTCTGATGGTTTTCACGTCTCACTTAGTCCCTACACTTCTAGACGCCATCCGGCAGGCCAACCATACGGAACCAGATTTGGCAGAGCTTCATCGTGCACATGTAGCCGGCCGGCTGCCATTACCCTACGCCGTTGAAGATGGGCTTCTCTTCTACAAACGCAGATTATGTATTGGCTCTCAATCGCCTCTCCGTACGGAGCTTCTTCGGGAATACCATGACACCCTGATGGCGGGTCACGGGGGAGTGTTACGCACCTTCCAACGATTGGCTATGGTTTTCTTTTGGAAGGGTATGCGCAGAGATGTCCAGCGCTATGTGCAAGCGTGTTTGGTGTGTCAAGCAACTAAGTATTCCACTTCTCCACCGGCCGGGCTCCTACAACCGTTACCGATTCCCTTGCAGGTTTAGGAGGATATTTCGATGGATTTCATAGTGGGATTACCGGCTTCGCGGGGTTACACGGTAATTCTTGTTGTGGTGGATCGTTTATCGAAGGTTACTCATTTGGGTCCGTTGCCGACTGATTTTGATGCTCATCGGGTGGCCTTTCTTTTCGTTGATTTGGTGGTGAAATTGCATGGATTTCCCAAGACCATCACCACTGACCGGGATCGGGTGTTCACGAGCAAATTCTGGCAGGAGGCTCTACGACTCAGCGGCACCACCTTGTGTTTGAGCACCGCCTTTCATCCGCAAACCGACGGCCAAATGGAGGTGTTCAATCGAAGTGTTGAAGACTATCTGCGTTCCTTTGTGCATGACAAGCCCAGCCACTGGTCTGTGTTGCTGCCATGGGCTGAGTATGCCCTCAATACTCGCTAGCATGAAGGCCTGCGGATGTCCCCATTTCAAGCATTGTATGGTCGTCCTCCCCCGTCATTTCTACCATACAAGCCTGGTGATAGGAAGGTGCCTGCAGTGGATGAGATGCTGTCCGAGCGAGCTGCCCTTTTCGAGTCTCTACGCCAGAATTTAACAACGGCCCAGCAACGTATGAAAACGGCCGCCGACCAGCACCGCAGGGAATTGTCCTTTGACGTCGGTGATTTGGTGTTATTACGGCTACAACCCCACCGGAAGCATTCTGTGGCACGACGTTGTTCAGCAAAGTTATCTCGTCGGCACTATGGGACTTTTGAAGTCGAAGCCAAGATCGGGCCTGTGGCATATCGCTTGCAACTGCCCCAACAGCCCGGGTGCACCCGAATTTTCATGTATCACTCTTACGACCTTTTCATGGGGCACGTGACGCTCCCGGCTTTCCGTTGCCTGAGGAGTTCGTGGGAGGCCAGCCCCTATCCCGTCTCATTAAAGTGCATCAACGGCATTCCATTTTGCAGCATGGACGCATGGTTGAACAGGCCCTGGTTCAATGGTCGGATGGAGATTTGGATGATGCAACGTGGGAACCAGTAGAAATGCTTCGTCGGTCGTACCCTCAGCTCGACCTTGAGGACAAGCTCCCTGTGCAACCGGGGGGATGATACGGAGCGCACGGCAGGGGAGGAAGACGAGGGAACCGAGGACTTTGATGGTGCGTTATGACATCGGCGTAGTGGACGCGAAAGGCGACAACCGGCATGGCATAAAGATTACGTTATTTAATATTATCATTGTAATGTAGTATTTTAATTAGGTGAGCGATTTATAAGCTCCTTCGAGGGTTTCTTTACGGTTCTTTACCTCGTCGCTTTTCTTGAACCGTCAGGATAGATAACGTAGTTTCTTAGGGAGAAAGTTAGGGTTAGCCGAACAACTATTTATAACGTGTAATATCCTTCGGCCGTGGATGTTGAATAGAAACCCTAATTTCATATTTCCCTNACGTTATTTAATATTATCATTGTAATGTAGTATTTTAATTAGGTGAGCGATTTATAAGCTCCTTCGAGGGTTTCTTTACGGTTCTTTACCTCGTCGCTTTTCTTGAACCGTCAGGATAGATAACGTAGTTTCTTAGGGAGAAAGTTAGGGTTAGCCGAACAACTATTTATAACGTGTAATATCCTTCGGCCGTGGATGTTGAATAGAAACCCTAATTTCATATTTCCCTCTTCCGGAGATTGGGGACGCTCGAAGTTCCTCTTATCGTGATACAAGTACGTATCAATTTGCTTGTCCTAATTCGAATCCCGAATCAATTTCGAGGTCTTGTATGCTGCATGACAAGAAGTGGAAGGTGTTTACGCCTTACGCTAGACCGCTATTTGAATTGCATGATGATCTATTTAGTTATTTTTGTTCTCTTGATATATTTTAAATACAATTTTGATATGCCTTGAACGAATATAATGAGCTGAGATGATGTTAAATGTAACGCCACAAAATATGGTCTAAAATTTATTATAAAACAAAAGAAGTTTTGAATATCATTTTGGCCCGATAAGGAATATTTATACGTTTGACCAAAATAGAATGGAGTTTTGATATAATAACTTATTGTTAAAAACATATTTTTATGGATATGTCTTGAAGAGACGAATCCAACGGTACATTTTATGAACCAATCTGATTTATAGATTTCAAGCTACGACTATTTTAAATATTAAAATTTATAACTTTGACCAATAAATTAAACTCAATTCAAAAGTGGTTTCATAAGATTAGAAATCTTAATCTTAGACACTTGACAATACCAAATTTATCATTTGGATTTAATTCATATATTTATTTCTCATTCATATTATTAAATTAATTTATGACTAAGACAGACCCAGACACTAAAAAATAAAAATTTTCAAAAAAAATATTTTAATTACGTCAAAATTCTAGTTTTGACAGTCTCATTCCAAAAACGCAATCCGTTTTCAATTTGGAGCAGTTTGGGCGAAAAAGTTTATACCGTTTGGAGAAAACTACTCAGTTTGGACAAAAGGCCAAACTTAATTTTCCTAAATCTCTATCCATCCGATCAGCCATTTTGAGGATTCCCTAAACATACTAAAATATTCCCACTCATCAATTTCCACTCATTAACCACAAAAACCAAAACCCATTATATAATACTCCCAAAGTTTCACCACTTTGTCAAACTCTTCCTCATACAACATTCATCTCTCTCTCTCTCCATTATTTTGTCTCTGTTTGCAGCTTCAAGGAGAGAAGAAAACACAGCCCATCCACCATAGTTTGTTCAAGGAAGAAGAAGAAACTATCCAAGTATCCAAAATCATGAGCACAATACAATCAGCCCACTTGTGAGTCAATTTTGTAATTTTCCATTCATTTTCTTGAAATACTTTCTGAACCAAAGTTGTAGCCCCAGACGTTACGAATCCAACCCAACAAACGGTTTGCAATTTCGTTAAGTAACGAATCGGATATGGCCAAAATACCGGGATTGCGCCAGTGGTGGCGAGCTCCTCGGCTTGGACTTGTTTCGTCACCAAATTCATATTATTTCATTCTAAATACTTACCATAAAATCTCTAACGATTATTAGGAACTTACGGGAGATATCGTAGAGAAGATTCGACGTTGGAATATTGAAATTGATAAGTTGATCGTCGGAACCGTTGTTCACTGGAGTATTCGAAAATTTCGCTATCTTATACTCCCTCCGTCCCATGAAACATGGGATGTTTTGCTTTTTGAAGAGATTTAAGGGAGTGTATTTTGGTATTAAATTTCCAAAAATGTCCTTTGATGTGATGGGTAAAAGTAGGATTTGATGGGTAGATTATTAGTAAAAAGGTATTATGTGATAGGTAGGGTATGAAAAAGTAAGGGGTAAAAATGTTTTTTTAATAGAAATGAGAAGTGTTTTATGGGACAAATGAAAAAAGAAAGGAGAAAGGTTTTATGGGACGGAGGGAGTATCTGTTAACTCGAAATACTTTCTATACGAAAGTTATAGCCTTACATCTTAGGAATCCACATAATAAAACGGTTTGCAATTCCGTGAAGAAATAATGGAGATATGACCGAAATACGGCAGGCTGTCCAATTGTGACGGGAATGACAAAGTTGGTGAATTTCGACGTTGTTTTTACTCCCGTTCTTTTGCAAGGTTTCGGCCATAAATTTCCAGGTCCGTACCCTTGCGTTAGACTTGTCGAATCATTCATCACATACGTACATGAACATATATATGAATCCATATGTTGAAATCATCCCAAAAATATATATGTGATACATATATAAGTTATCCATGTGTTGAGATCAAAATACACCAAAATCATAAAGTTAATAAATATACATAAACAAATATAAATATTAGAAATCAACCCAACAACATGTATATGTTAATCAAAGCTGTTTAAAGGACTTAAAGAAGTATTTTAGACACTCAAAATATCAAGAGAAAGATTCGCAGACCCAAACGGTCAACGCAAACGGTCGACCGTCGTATTAAACTTCGAAACGGACCACGACTATAAGCAGAATGGTCGACCGCCGCAGTCAAACGATCAACCGTCGCTAGCCTAGCTGAATGCCGCCTCACTCAGACCGTCAACAACGGTCGACCACCGGTCAACCACAGTCGACCGTCACGGTGTTTCCAAAGTGATGAGATGAATTAGAGCACGGTCGACCGCCGTGCCAAACGGTCGACCGTTCCGAACCCCGTAACTTAATTAAATGATAATTTAATTATATTTCAACAAAATAAACTCATGCATGACTATATATTCATATTGTTTGCAAATTGTTCATATCATATCATTCATTTCATCATTCATATTGAAGCATATCACATCATATGCATGCGTAAGAGATCATGCCTCGTGCGTCTCTTATAGCGTGATTGTGCGGGACTTAGCAGTCCGACATCACACGTTCGGGCTTAGTGTAGGTACATGGTATTCAGGCTTTCGAGTACCACCCCCATATTGTTTCTAGTCTCATCTCATTCGTGAGACTAAGGTGGCGTGAGTTCGTCATACAACCTGGGCGAATCTCATAGCGCAAGGGTCGTCGTTGCACGTTAGTTTCATGCATCATGTTATCATCATGAAGTACAATTATATTGATTACATAAGTGTCATGTAATCATCATCAAGAACAATCAAATTGATTGAATGTGCAATCATGTTATCATCATCAAGTACAATTATATTGATTACATAGGTGTCATGTAATCATCATAAAAAATAATCATATCGATTAAATGTGTCATCAGGTTATCATCATTAAATATCACTACAAGAAAAATAGTATACAAGGACACAATTTAAGGACACATTATTTATGAAATGTCCTTAAAAGTTTTTTATGACACATTTTACTAAAAATATTTTCAAGGACATCAATTAAGTTTTCATTTTGAAAACTAAAATTAACAAGCCTATTGTCCACTGCACCTATACGGAGGATATTTTACTTTAAGGGGCTGTTTGTTTCAGCCTCTTAATGGTTCAGATGTCTGAATGATTCAGCACTTAATGGTTCAGACTGTTTGTTTCAGCCTCTTAATGGTTCAGATGTCTGAAACCAATTCTCTAAACGGAGACTTACCAATTCATAATATGTCTCAGACTTACCAATTCTCGACAATAGACTTAACTAGTCTGTAAACGGAGAGAATAGTTAAGCAATATACTAGCTCTTAATGGTTCAGACCTCTTACTGGTTCAGCACTTAATGATTCAGACCTCTTACTGGTTCAGCACTTACCCATTCAGAAGTTGCTAAACAGCCCCTAAAATTTTTTTAAACAACTTTTACTCTATAATTTTCAAAACCACGTCAGTTAGTTGTAGACTTGTACGGATCGGAGTAGTTTCTTCTTAGTGGGTAATAATTAACCTACTACAATTAAATTTTTTTTAATAAAAAAGAAGGATCAACTCCATAATTAACCTACTTCAATTAGTTTCTAATTTTTCAGCCGCTCAGATTTTCCCTCTCTTCTTCGCACCAAAATTCTCAGCCCGCCACTGCAAAAGTCCCATTCTTCTCTTTCCCGTTTTCAATTTCAATCGATTTTCAGGGCTTCTCTTCGATTGTGGCTTCCCTATTCACAATTTTTAGGGCTTCGTTTCAGACCCTAAAAAAAATCGAGAGACGCAAGTGCTGCGATTCACCTGTGCAATTGCATCGAAATTGCACTTCTTACCGTTCTTTGATCTCTTCTCAAAGGTTTTGCTCTACTCTTAAGTTTCTTTTTTAATCCAAGTTGCTTTTATTAGATTGTTTTCTAGAAATTTGAAGTAAACTTGTGAAATTTCATTGCTCTCATATTTTTTTCTCCGTGTTAACAATTATTTCAAAAAATTTCAATTTATGTTTAAGTACGTGATTGTTGATGTTGATTTGAGTTTTTGATTACTGTAATCTATATGGATTGTAGCCTTGGATGTTCTCTGCTCAAGTAGATTTGATTCTTTTCTTCCCTATTCACAATTCGTAGGGCTTCTTTTCACACCCAAAAAAATGAGAGAAGCAATTCTTTTTTTCAGACTTTAAGACGCAAGTGCTGCGGTTGGATCGATTCACCTGCAATTTTTTTAGACCTAAGGACGCAAGTGCTGCAATTTTTTTTTCAAACGGAGAACGCAAGCGCTGCAATTCACCTGGGTGATAGCATCGAAATTGCACTCCTCACCTTTCTTTGATATCTTCTCTAAGGTTTTGCTCTACTCTTATGTTCTAATCGTAGTTGTTTTTATTAAATTGTTTTCTAGAAATTTGAAGTGAACTCGTGCAATTTTTGGAATTTCAATGCTCTGATTTTTTTTCTATGCTCTTATCTACGGATCATTCAATTTTTTTAGTTTTTGAGAACTGATTTCGATGTTTAATACTTGGTCTAAACAAGATTATTCTAGTTCTTATTGTTGTTGAAATAACTACTTTAGCTATTTTGGCAAACAAATAGAGAGTCAAGTATGCAATCACTTGTTTATGATTATTTTTTCTATTAGATATAATGGATAAAAGATGGATGTCTATGGATAAAAGTTGGATGTCTAAAGATAGAAGATCAGCAGAATATGAGAATGGGGTTGACCGTTTTTGTGATTTTGCATCACACCATGCCATAGATCCTAACTCAATTCGGTGTCCCTGTTTAAAATGTGGGCATGTTAAACCACAAACAATTAAGGAGGTTAAGAACCACTTGTTTTGTTATGGCATTGATCAAAGTTATGTGTTATGGTATTGGCACGGAGAACCTATCCCTAGTCCAGAAGTGGAGGGATTGGAGGCAAGCTCTGTAGTTGATGAAAACTTTAATAAAGACAACAATATGGAAAACACTGTAGAGATGGTTGAAGCTGCACATGATGCTTTTACTACTGATCCAGACGCATTTGTGAAACTGTTGGAAGATGCTGAAAAACCCATATATCCTGGGAATCTAAAGTTTACAAAGTTATCAACCCTCGTAAGGTTGTATAACTTTAAAGCAAAAGGAGGGTGGTCTGATGCAAGCTTTTCATGGTTACTAGAATTCTTACAAGAATTACTTCTAGAGAAAAATGAAATCCCATCAACCTTGTATGAAGCAAAGAAGACACTTGGTGCATTAGGGATGGAGTATGAAAAAATACATGCATGCCCTAATGATTGCATCTTATATAGAAAACAATATTCTAATTCAGTTGTATGTCCGCATTGTGGTGTGTCAAGATGGAAAGTTAGTAAGAGTTCGAGTGAGAATAAGAAGAAAAAAATTCCAGCAAAGGTTTTGTGGTACTTCCCCCCAATCCCTAGGTTTAGAAGAATGTTTCGTAATAGAGAAACAACGAAAAACTTAATATGGCATGCCACAAAAAGAGTAAAAGATGGTAAACTAAGGCATCCAGCAAACTCCCCATCATGGAAACTTATAGATCATATGTGGCCAGATTTTGGGGATGAGCCTAGAAATCTTTGAGTTGCCATAGTAGCGGATGGGATCAATCCTTATGGTTCTCTTAGCAGCAGGTACAGTTGTTGGCCAGTCATCATGGTCACATACAATCTACCACCTTCCTTGTGCATGAAAAGAAAATTCATGATGCTTACCTTATTAATATCTGGTCCTAAACAGCCGGGCAAGAATATTGATGTGTATTTGGAACCAATGGTAGATGATTTAAAAGAAATGTGGGAGTTTGGTGTAAAAGCTTATGATGCATATGCGGAAAAGACATTTACGTTAAAGGCTGTTTTGTTATGGACCTTAAATTACTTTCCTGCATATGGAAATTTGTGTGGCTGCAGTGTGAAAGGATATAAAGCTTGTCCAATTTGTGGTGACAATACACATTCAGAATGGTTGAAGTATGGGAATAAAGTTAGCTATGGTGGGCATAGAAAATTTTTGCCAATTAATCACCATTTTAGATCACAAATGAGTCTATTTAATGGTGAAAAAGAGTTTGGTGTAGCTCCATCTCCTTTAAGTGGAGCAGAAATTCTCGAAAGAGTTAAAGATATTAAAGTAATAAGGAGTAAGAAGAAATTGGATTCCAAAGCACCAAAGGAGAAAATTCTTGGGAAAAGGAAGAAGATAGCAGGGAATACTCTAAGACAGAAAAAGGTTATCCAAGAGAGTGAGCTAAACTCTTACATGAAAAAGAAATCAATATTTTTTGATCTACCTTATTGGAAGTCCATGCATGTCAGACATTGTTTAGATGTGATGCACATTGAGAAAAATGTATGTGAGAGCATCATTGGAACATTGTAGAACATCCCAGGAAAAACAAAGGACAATGTTGCTGCTCGTAAAGATCTTCTTCTTAAAGGTGTGCGAAAAGGTTTGGCACCTATGTAGTGGGGGAAAAAATATATCTTCCTGCTGCTCCTTATACGTTATCAAAGAAGGAGAAAGAATCAGTCTGTGCTTCATTATATGGATTTAAGGGGCCAAAGGGATTCTCATCGAATTTTAAAAACCTTGTCTCTATGAAAGATTTAAAACTTTTTGGTCTGAAGTCTCATGATTGTCATGTCCTCTATGCAACATCTAATTCCTGTGGCAATTCGTGGTGTGTTACCTAAGCATGTAAGATATGCAATTACAAGATTTTGTGTATTCTTCAATACTTTATGCAGCAAGACCATTGATGTGTTAACCTTGGATGAAATACAAAGTGGAATTGTCGAAACTTTATGTTTGCTTGAGAAGATATTTCCACCTTCATTTTTTGATATAATGGTGCATCTCACGGTCCACCTCGTTAGAGAAGTGCGCTTATGTGGTCCAGTCTACTTGTGTTAGATGTACACGTTTGAACGGCACATGGGTGTTTTAAAAGGCTATGTCAGAAATCGAAATTGTCCAGAAGGTTGCATGGCTGAATCGTATATTGCTGAAGAAGCAATAGACTTTTGTGCAGATTATTTGTCAGACGTACACACTGTTGGAATCCCTGAGAGAAGTAAATCATATCTTAAAGATGTTAATGTTCCTTTAGGAAGTGGACGTGTTGTTACCATTGCTGCCAAGTTAATGCATCAAGCACATCTTTCCGTATTGGACAACACACCTGAGGTTTAGCCTTACATTGAGTATGTTTTACAGTCTCTGTCTTTAGTTTCTATCAAACTTTTAAAACTATTTTTACATCATGAATGGCTTATTACTATATTTTTTTGTGTACCTAAATGTTGACAGTGAGCATTTAGAGATATTGAAGATGGAGCATCCTCAAAAGTCTAGAGGAGAAAAGTGGTTGCGAGATGAACACAATCGAAGATTTAGCAATTGGTTACAAGAAAGGGTAATACCTCACATTATACTTATATATTCTCTGAAGTTAAAAAAATTGTATAGTACTTTTTTTGCTTAAGAATGCCACTAACTTAACTTACTCTTCCAGGTACAAGTTGAGCTCAATAGTCCCAATAATGGTATATCAGAAACTCTAAGGTGGATAGCGCATGGTCCTCGATGTGAAGTTAAAAACTACACTGGATATATAGTGAACGGTTGTGATTATCATACGAAGTCTCGAGATAATGAGCATATCCAACAAAATAGTGGGGTGTCATTAACTGCAAATGTAATACTAGTTTCTAGTGCCAAAGATAAGAACCCTATAGCAGATGAGATTACTTTCTATGGGGTGATTCAAGAGATATGGGAGCTTAATTATAATAGTTTTACAAGAGTTGTGTTTAAATGTGATTGGGTCGAAAATAGTAAGAAGGGGCTGAAAGTTAAGGATTTTGGCATGACATTTGTTGATCTTAGTAAAATTGGGCATAAGTCTAATTCTTTTGTTTTAGCCAATCTAGTGAGAAAAATATTCTATGTTGAAGATCCAGTAGATTCAAGGTGGTCAGTTGTACTGCAAGCACCTCAAATGAATTGGTTAAACGAAGAGGAGTTGGGGGATACCACACTTGATAATCCATGTCTTTCTCATGCATTGCCATCTGTTAATACATTTGATGTCTTGACTAAGAATGATGTTGTTTATGTTCGTGATGACTGTGAGGGAACATGGGTTGATGAAAATACATAGCTGCCTTTCTATATTCTCATTTAGATCTTATAATTATCTTCAAATAGATTGTCATATAACCTAAATGTTTTAGTATTAATCCTTACTCATTTGCTTTTACATTTCTTAAGAACGTAGTTATTGTTATAATTAATCACTGTGTATATAATGTCTTGCAACTATATTTTTTATAATTTATTGTTATTTGAGTGAGATAATCAAAGAACGTGTTGATGAAATTGTAAGTTTAGAAACGTTATATTCACGTTGGTGACAGATAATTTATTTGATTGTTTAATGGAAAAGTTATCTCCATCACAGTAGGCTAGAGTGTTATTTGTTTGATTTTAGTTTTAATGGTATTCAATAACATCACAGGATGCATTAACTGATGATATTGGAGAAGGAAATATGTCGGCGATTGGCAAGAATGACATTCTAACACAAGCTTTGGAGACGCCTGAACAAGGTGGACATGTTAGAGGTGTTGGAGCATGTGTTACCCATAAGGCGTACTTTAGTACTCCTAGACCTCAAGCTGCAAGTAAAACGCAGATCTTAGAACAACAGGTGGAAGTGTTGAAGACACAACTCAACATGTTTGCTTCATTATTAGATCCTGAAAAGCTTGATCCAACTAAATTGAACAAGATGAGAAACCTATTTCTATCAAATAGTGCATCTGAAAATGCTTGTTGCTCACTAGACCAGAAGAGAACTCAATTTCCTAAAGAGAATGCGACACCCAAGCATGAAAAGAAAAAGACACCAGATCTACGTCGAAAAGTAAGTGGCGTGCAATATCCAATTGAAAGTAGCAAAGAGAGAAAGAAGGTACATAATTGCTAATTTGCGATTTTACTTATTTACTACTTACCCATTTGTTTTTTACATTCAAAATTTATTTCATGGAAGGTACGCTCGTATGAGGGGGGGCTGGTGAATGATGACCGAAGAACAAAAGATGAAGCCATGTATTCAACACAAGTGAGACCAAAATGCAAGATCGCGCTTAACAACAAAGACAACATTGTTGCTTTAGGAACTATTATAATGTTGGATGGGCCACTACATGGTGTACCACTTTGGGCAGAAAATATACGTATCTCCATTGAAGAGGCTATCAAGGAAGATGCGTACCTTCCAATTCCAAATATTCCAGGTGACATCTTCACAGTAAAGAATGCCATTGGCACACACGTTGCTTGGCCTAGACATCTTGTTTTAGTATCACCTGAAGAGGTATATTAAACCTGTCCTTCTGCCATTAATTAAAATTTAATATAGCAGTAACATTTTGTGAATTCACATGTAGGATATAATGGGATCTGAAAATCTGGATCTATCTAAAATGAACAAGATGGCAAACCTATTTCCATCTAATAGTGCATCTCAAAAAGTTAGTTGCTCACTGGAAAAGAAGAGAACTCGATTTCCTAAGGAGGATGTGGCACCCAAGCAAAAGACTCAAGAACCACGTCTAAAAATGGGTGATATTCCATACCCAAATGAAAGTAACAAAGAGAGTCAGATGGTAAATAATTTACATATTACTTATTTACTATAGGTACATAATTGCCATATTACTTATTTACTAAACAATTTTTTTTTACATTTGAATTTTTTTCATGGAAGGGATGCTCATATGAGCGGGGGCTAGTGAGCGATGATGCAGAAACAAAAGATGATGACGTGTATTCAACCCCAGTTAGACCAAATGTTGTTAAGAAGGTATGATTATAGTTAAACTTTTAGACGTATATTAAAATTGTCTTTTTATCTTTAATTAAGATTTAATATAGGACTAACATGATCTGAATTCACATTTAGGAAATAACGAGATCCAAAAATATGGATCCAACTAAATTGAACAAGGTGAGAAATCTATTTCCATGTAATAGTGCATCCGAGCACCCAAGCAATGTGGCACCCAAGCAGAATGTGGCACCCAAGCACGAGAATAAAAGGACTCAAGAAGTACGTCTAAAAATGGGTGATATTCAACACCCAAATGTGAGCACCAAAGGGAGCAAGGTATGATTATAAGTCTGAAAAATGCGTTCTCATATTGAAATTTTTAATAACACCTAACTTTGTAACTTAATCATTTATTGACAGGAAACAAAATGCAAGCTAGCACTTGACACCAAAGAAAATATTGTTGCTTTATGAACTATTATAATGTTGGATGGGCCACTACATGGAGTACCACTTGGGGCAGAAAATATACGTATTTCAATTGAAGTGGCTATTAAGGAAGATGCTTACCTTCCGGTCCCAAATATTGCAGGTGACATCTTCCCAGTAAAGAATGCCATTGGCACACATGTTGTTTGGCCTAGACATCTTGTTTTAGTGTCAAATGAAGAGGTATATTACATTCATTCATATGTCATTAATTAAAACTTATTATACTGCTAACATTATCTGAATTCATACTTAGGATGCAATGGGCAAGCCAAAGTGTCCGAGTAAACAATCATTCACACAAGTAGGATACAAGATGCCTATGTCTGTGCATCTTCTCTTGTGTTTGTTAGGTCAATGGCTGAAAATGAAAAAATATCTTTGATAATGGAAGACGGTGTGTTTAGCATGGAGCAAAACAGTTTCATTAGCAAGAATGATATCAGTAACTTTTGTTTAATGAATCCAATATCTAGTATTTGCATTTCTATATACATGAGGTGAGTGAAGTGTGTTTAATGTACTAAAACTGATACTATTTAACTTATATGCAATTTATATTAAAACATATATTTAAAATCATTTTATAGGCATCTTTGGACAGTATTGCAACAAAAGAACAAGGGTCACTTGTATGGATTTGTTGATCCAAGTCACATCTCTCAATCAACTGGAAAAATTGAGGCTAGATCAAATGCATTATCACATAGATTTGAATCTGCCCAATTAGACCAATTATTTTTTGCTCCTTATAATACAGGGTAAGTTTATGAATACGATTGTTTCACGCTAATTCTTTTTGCTAGTTCAAAAATGCAACGATAGCAAGTTCATTGTTATTTAACTTTTTTGTTGTAGGAATCATTGGTTACTGGTTTTTATCAACCCTTTTGCGGCATTGGTGTATTACCTTGACCCGTTGAGTNACGATTGTTTCACGCTAATTCTTTTTGCTAGTTCAAAAATGCAACGATAGCAAGTTCATTGTTATTTAACTTTTTTGTTGTAGGAATCATTGGTTACTGGTTGTTATCAACCCTTTTGCAGCATTGGTGTATTACCTTGACCCGTTGAGTGACATGAATGTCAATCTTGGAATGAAGAATGTTATCGAAATGTAATGATTTTTATCTTTTTATACTTTTCCTTAATGAGAAATGGGTGGAGACTATTTTAATTTTATTAATACAATTTATATGCAGTGCCATGAAGATATTTTATGCTCAAAAAGGTGTAAATAGTCGTAAAAAAGTACATTGGCAAGTCATTCAGGTATGTACTTTTTTTGTTTTAGTTTTGGTCATGAACTCCTTACATGCAATGAACACATAAATGTAAGACATTTCAATTCATTTTATAGTGTCCTAGTCAAGCAAGAGTTGAAGAGTCTGGATATTACATCATGAAATACATGAAAGATATCATTGGAACTTCAATCATTACAATTAAAGATAAGGTATGCACATATATTAACTTATTATTTGGCTTAAATTTGCACCTCTTTTTAGCTAAAACTTGACCTTAAACCTGGGCTACTATTGGCTTACTTTTGGCTAAAACATGACCTTAAAGCAGGGCTGCTGTTGGGATGCTTTTGGCTTAGTTTTATTTTTAATTTTTTGTAGCAGCAACTTGAGCCTAGCTACTTTGTTAGAGATTATTCCTAAGCTAGTATACTACATACGGAGTACTATAATAATAGTAAGAATAATACTAATACTAATAATAATAATGCTCAATTTTTCTTATACAATACAATATATTTAGGGGAGAAGAACATTTGTAATATAGTACTGAGTAATGGTACTGTGAGTATATATATTAATTAAGTTAGTTTTTGGTGGTAGAATTTACTCTATATGGTAATTAACCAATGTAAATTGTCTATAGAAGAATACCATGTTTTCTATTACAAGTTATACTGACATATTGGTTAAATATTTACCATTATATTATTATTTCAGTTCAACGAAAAAGATTCATACACTCAAGCAGAGATTGATGAAGTTCGAGTAGAGTGGGCAGAAGTGGTTGACTCATATATCCAAGCAAATGAAGTCTAATAGTTAGCATATTTAGATTTGAAATAGCATAGATGGATATATGTATATATGATAGGATTGAGATATGATGCCACATGCAGTGGTTTTTTTATTTAAGTAGATGTTTCATTGGTCAACTTGAATTGATTATTGGTCTGTATTTTGGGATTTCCCATCTTTAATTATTATTTAATGAAACTTTGAATTAAAAAGTGTACATATATTTGTGTGTCCTCTTATTGATATAATATGACTACTTTTAGATACTCCTTCCATCCTATAATAATCTTTCCGGTTCGCAAAACGAAAAAAATACCAAGTTTTTTCAATCTATTTTATTTAAATATTGGTATAGAAAAAAAAATAAAACATACATATTTAAAAACTACATCAAAAGTTCAACAAAACAAGTGATGACAAGAATATTTTATTTTATCATATAGGCCATGAAAACATACAAATAAATATAAATTCCCGTGAAGTTGGAATAGTGCTCTGGGAAGATCATTATAGGACGGAGGGAGTATTTTAATAACGCACAAACAGCGTCTTTGTACAAATTAAATGATACATGCCAAGTATATGAAGACATTTTTTGTGTCTTCTTATGGAAATAAGGACACTTTAGAAATAATTTAAGATGCATAAATAGTGTCATAGTTTATAATAGAGAACACGGTTTAAGTAATAAGATGACACATTTTATGTGTCTTTGTATGGCATTAATGACGCCAATTATGGAGCTTTAAGGGTGTCCTTGTATAGAAAAGATGACGCAAATTATGTGTTCTTGTTTCATACTTACTATGACTCCCTGATAGAGGACACTTTGTCTTAGTGTCCTTAAATATAATAGACGACTTCTTTTAAGTGTCTTCGTATCCCTTTTTTCTTGTAGTGTATTTATCATTATAAACCATCAACTTGATCATATATGTAATGTGCCATATGATGAATATTGTTATACATTTTTATGGATGTATATATATGTATATGTATATGTCTGTGAATTATTCTACAATTCTAGAGTGGTACCACTCAGCAGTTTCGCTGAGCGTGTAGTTTGTATTTTTCGTTGACTACACGTAGGTAACAAGAAGACAATGATGGAACCACTCCCGGAGGGCAATGAGTCGGAGGAGATGCAAGGATTGCAGGCAAATGTTTGATCATCAAGATTTTAAATGTGTCATGATTTGATTATTATTGTACTTCCGCATTACTCCGAAAATATTTTTAAATGGGCCGCGATCCAGATTCTGTAAATTTAACATTTATAAGTAATTTTCATTTTCAAATGTCAAGCGAAATTTTTATTCACCCTAATACGTGTAATTCCAGGTTATACGGATTGAGGTGTTACATTAAAATTGAATGATAAGGCTACCTGGAGAAACTCTAGGACTGTTGTAGTGCAAATGTAATTGTAAGTGTCAATAGGTAGAATCAGCCTGGCGGCTGATATCTGATGGTTGCGGGTTAAAACGTACGCACGAGATGCACAAATTGTCGTTACGAAGGAGGCCTAGATACCACCCACTTAGTGGTGAACTCTTTCATTGGAAAAATTGTGTTGTATTGTAATGTGTTCACTAAAGTAGACTTGAGCAATGAACGTAGGTAGTGACTAAGTCATAAGATAAGGTTGTAAATAAGGATGTGTTGGCCTTAGTCGAGAATATAAGTTATGAGCAACTCATAAGGAAGAACTAGGATAATGATTTGAGACTTATGAGTTCATTTGATGATTGTTATGTGATATTATTATAGAAATCACCATAAATAGGACTAAAACATAGAGAAAAGAACCAAAATAGGACTTTTATGTTTTTTTCTCGAAATAGGACTTTGCAATGTGGTAATGTGACTTTGCCCTGTTGTAATGTGGTAGTGTACATGTGCAAATTACTATACTTTTTTGGTAATGTATATGACCATGTATGGTAATGTAAGTCCTATTTCGAGAATAAAAACATGGAAGTCCTATTTTGGTATATTTTCAATGTTTTAGTCCTACTTTGGTCTTTCTCTCATATTATTAATGTTGTACTTGTGTGCTTGATATTGTATGAAATTATGAGCTAGTGAGTTCATCTATATGCGTAGTCGAACATTAAATATTTCTCACTTAGCAGCAATGTTGAGCGTGCAGTCGATTTTCCTCTTTGCTACACGTAGGTAACAGGAATTACAAATAAGGAAATAATCATGGAGGGCAGCGAGGACGAGGAGATGGATGAATGTTGGCTTAGAGAGTTTATTTAATTTAATATTATATTTGAATTTAGTATATTTTCGGGAAAATGACCCAAAGGTATGTTTGAATTAAGTACTTAAAGCTTCTGCACCGTTTTGTTCAACTCCGATGGATATTTAAATAATGTTTTGAATTGGGTGTTCTAAAATGTTTTGAAAATTATTGTGTTTGGATGACAATCTAGTGACAACTCGATCCGCTGGTTTGTGTATTCGGGCTACGCGGGTTGGGATATTACAATACCTATTAACCATCTAATATATAACGTCAACCGAGTCTAATTAAACATATACTATTACAACCCAATGGCACCCAAACAAGCCCCAATTATATCCTATAGAATCCAAACCATCCCAATTTCATTCAATTGGAACCCCATAGCCCAAATTGGACCAATTGGAACCCGGACAGACTCATTGGCAATCAGACGACCCCAACTACAATATGGACAAACCCAATTGGAACCTGATTGTTCAAATCAAACCCAATTCGATTTTCTAACTCAAAAGTTTAAGTTGATAGGTAGAGTTTCATCCTTCTATATATGTTAGTGGCTTGATATATCATCCTTTTCCGACATGGGCACTTCTAACCGTCTTTATCTAGTTTGATTTTTTTTAATCAAACTAGAAAACCTTTTGAGTTTAATTACTTTATATGGAGTATTTGTACTAATTTAATAAAGTAAAAGTTTGAAAGTTCTCAACAAGATAAATGTAATACAATCAATTTTTGATTTATATTTGTTAGAGTTTTTATTTAATTGAATCTCAAAGTTTATCTTGTTTGATTCAAAAAGTCAAACTAGAGTACAAAATCAATATTAACCTACATATCACATTATATCTACTCCCTCCGTTTTGAAAACACTTCTCATTTTGACCAAATGCAAAAATAAGAAAGTCTTAAATTGTAATTGACTTCCAATTTTACCCATGATGTGATGGATAGATTATCAGAGAAAAAGTATGATATGATATGTAGGGTAAGAAAGAATAGGGGTAAAAATGGTTTTTTAATAGAAAGTGAAAGTATTTTGGTGGAAAAGAGAAAAAAAGAAAGAAAAGTCTTTTTTAAGAAAATTAACACAATAATGTGGAGTGTCTTTCCTTTAAATTTTATAGAACTCAAAATAAGAAAAAGATTTTGAAAGGGAGCAAATATAATGCTAGACAATATAATAGCCAAAACAATGTTTATTCTCCGAATGTACTCCGGATGGGAGTAGTCCACAAGATCAAGGGTATTATGCAAGGACATACCCAATTCTATTCATGCTCTGCATTTATTTTTTGGGTGCTTCCTATGAGTCCCATTGAGAAATTTTCAATTTAGATGCTCTTGCAGAGTCACCTACCCGGCCACACTTATTTTGTTTAGTTTTATTTTAAATTTTACAAAGGGTACGTACCCAATGGGATTTTACCATTTATTTTCATAATATAAATCATAATATATGTTATGCCACAACACCTTCTATGAACTCTTCTTGATCAGCAACCATGCCCAGCAAGGACTCCCGCAACGTTGCACTGTATTTGAACTGTTTAGAACAGAACCGATCTTGCGAAGCTTGAGGTTCGCAGTCGATGAACTCTCTGTTCCCATTGAGACAAAACCTTAATTCTTCCAAATAGTTTATCCTCTGCTTGCCCACACTCACTTCCTTGCACAGCACAAACGGTTTCTTTCCTTGAAATGCTCTCAAACCCCGAATGGAATCGACCGTTGTCTTCAAAGGTTCTGACAACACATACACATAGAAGTCCAAACCAATAATTCAAATTACATTATCCTATCTCAAATAATAATAATAATAAAATTAGGTATTTTGTGTGCATTGTACTCATAAATTTTTACCTTGGGTGAGAAGGTTTAGACCAGACTGGACTTGTCCATACAAGCGGAGAGCCTCGTCGAAGTACCCCTTCACGGTGAATAGGTTGCATTTCACGCCGTGTTTCGTCCATTCGTTACCCCAGAATTGCTCTGGTCTCATACTGCTCTTAATGTTAGGCCAATACTTCTTAAGATTTGCATAGATGGACGAAAGTTTGGTGAAATCGTATTGTTCGGCCGAATCGGTGCATTGGCCATTGTAGTTGGGCCAAAGACCGTGAATGGTGAAAATCTTAGGCAAGTCCGCGGGCTTCTGCGAGCACGTATTGATTTTGCAGAAGCCCAGGGGCCAAGACACTGCGAACTTAAAACTCAATTTTGAGGGATCAATGTTGGTGAGTGAACCATTGTTGTTATTAACTGCAATGGTTGTGGCGTCACTGATTGTGGAAAGGAAAGAAATAAGAAGAAGAATGAGAGTGACCCTCATCACGTTTTAAAGTCTATGGAATTATTTTGCAACGCTTGTGGCTTGCATGCACATATATATAGCCTCATCAAGTATTGCCTTCCTCAGTTCCACCCTAACATCTAAATGGAATAATGATGGGGTCCTCATCTCATATCTTACATGTTGGTTATTGTAGGACTATCCTTATCACACTATTTGGGATAACTCTTACTCTCTCTCCCCTGAGTATTTGTCCGCTTTTAACTTTTTTTGTCAAAATTGATAAATTTTGACCTCAAAATAATTAAAAATGATATTAGATATTGATACAAAAATAGTTTAATTAGATTCATTTTATCAAATATTTTCTAAATATTATTGTATTTAATTAATATACAATATACTTCCTCCGTCCCACAAAACCTTTTCCCTTTTCTTTTTCGTCTTTCCCAAAAAACATTTCTCCTTTCCTATTAAAAAGTTACTTTTACCCATATTAATTCTTAACCTACATATCACATCACATTTTTTTCTATTAATCTATCCATCTCATCCTACTTTATCCATCACATCAAAGGGCATTTTTGGAAAGTCAACACCAAAATACACTCCCTTTAAATCTTTTAAAAGTCAAAATGGGAAGTTTTTTAAGGGACGGAGGGAGTATATTTTATTTAATTATAGGTCAAAGGTTGAAAACAGTTGACCGAAAAAAGTCAAAACTGGACAAATACTCAAGGACGGGTAGTGAAAAAAGGTTTTCCTGAGTGAGTTAGTTTCTTGACATGATATAAGAGTCTTATTCACTATGTCCGAGTTTAAAACTCAGTGCCACTCAGTTCAAAAATTTTAAGTTTTCACATGCAAGGCTCGAAAGGACTATGCCTGCACGTGAGGGGCGTGTTAGAATGTTTAAAAAAAATTTCTAACGTACAACCAAAAGTTTGAGTTTTGATTGATTACGTTCCTTACCAATAATTAAAATTATTTTAAGACGTAATGAGACAAGAAATTATAATAAATATATATTGGTATGTTTCTACCACTCAACCACGTTCTATGATCGTTAGGCTCTTCGTAGCACCTCACAGAATAGCAGCCGTGATCCCACCTGGCATGCCAAGTGGCATGGCCGATCACGTGCATACACGGCACACCGCTCTCTTGGTGCCGTGAGAATTTCACGTGAGAGTTGGAGAGTTAGAGGAAGTAGGAACCGTCATCTTATAACATTGCCGGACAATATCATGGGAATCGTCCTCATACTTAAGCCTTTAGGTATGTTTTGAGATACTCCCTACAATATTTGGGATATGACTATATGAGTAGATTTTAACTTCTAGTCCCTCCGTCCCAAAAAGTCTTTTCTGTTTATTATTACGGCTTCTCGATAACTCTTATTTGTTTGCGTGTTTTCATAGATCATTTTATAAAACAAAATATTCTTTTCACCTCTTATTTTGTAGAGTTTTCGATGAAGTTTTTAAACATAATTTTTTTATGTGTTATTTCCTTACCTATTTTCAAATAAAATCATTTTAAATTCACAGGATTTTGCACGTTAATCAAAGTAAGAAATTATTTTTGGGACCGATGATATTTTTCTAAACTTAAAAATAATGGAAGAAAGTACTCCGTACGTAGTGCACGTGGTAGGGTCATGTTGTGCATCAGCAGTACTTATTGAAATGGGAGTTATGGGACACATGGAAGGTTGTTGTCCACATCAAATCATAAAAACAAGAACTATATTGACTATTTCTTTTGTAGACCTTGGATACATATTATTTTTATGAATCTTCTTGTATAAAAATATTTTTTCTTATTTTTTATTTAAAAAATAAATATTTATTGGAATTGTAATAAAATACTTATTTTGCTCATATATAAGACCAGAGTGGACCTTAGATCCATAATAGAATTTGCTCATAATAAGTGTCATTGCACGTGACAAAAATTGTTTCGACTTACTCAGTATTTTTGATGGGAGATGCTAGGGGTAGACCCTCAAATGTATACCACCCCATTCTTTACCATTCATTTTATTTTATTTTTATTTTTTATTTTTTTTTGAATTTTACTTGACTTTTTATGTGGTTATGGAGGGGGTGGGAATATTTGGGATACACTTTGGTGTACCCCTAGCATTTTCTATTTTTGATGGCTTGTTTAGAAACATAAATTTGGATTTGAAATCCAAATTTGATCCAAATATCATGTTTGGCAATTCTAAAAATTTTGATTGGAATTTGATCCAAATTCTACCCAAACTCCACCTATGCAAATCTAACACATTACAATTACATGCTCACTCCCTGTCATTTGCAAATCCCAATCCTACCAAAAATAAAAAAAAAACCCGGCTTATTCCTGCTCTCAGTATGGAATTTCTCTCTCTAGGTTTGAGACATGATAAACCCGTTGTGTACTTTTTTTTTACTCCTATTTGATACGTTCTTGTACCATTTTAATTATCAAATGAATCAATTCTTTATGCTTTTCATCAAAGTATGATATTTTGATAATTTGATCATAAAAGGAATGCTCTAGATTTAACATATAAAAGTTGGGCCAAGAATATAATAGAGTAAAAAAAAGTTAATTTTTAATAAAAAAATTATTGTATCTCACAATCGGTACGGAATTTGAAGTCGGCGCAAAAGGAAAAAATGTCCAGAACAAAATTTTGAGCAATGTGGCATCGACAATCTGTAGCAGCACAATAGGCGTCCTGGCAGGCGTTTGCCTACCAGGCCGCCTGTCGAAGTGGCGGTGGCGGTCAAAGAAAGCGAGCAGTGGTTGTTCGCTAGCAAAGGATGTGCTTGCGGGCAGGACGCCTGGGAGGCGGGCAGGCAAGCGCCCGCCTGCCTGCCCGCCTGTCGAAGGCGACCAGTGTAATGCTGGATATCTCTCGAAGCTGCGTTATTGGCGGCGACAGCTGACTGGCAGCCGCCGGTCTGCCGGCCTGGTGATCGGTCATCTCCGATCCTATAAAAGTCCAGCACGTTTCATTTTGTTACCAAGCATTTTTCTGTAGAAATTAATAAGAGGAAAAATATTCTGTATATTGAATTGGCTTGTGCTTACAAAGGTCTAACCCCCTTTATATAGGAAGAGAGTAACGCATTTAAGTAAACTTTTATTCCTACCATATTTCTATTCCTACTATAACAAGAACTAAGCAAACTAGGAAAGATACTAAACCGAATCCCAAAGGGATTCAGTTTCCTTCTTTGATCCGTCTTCCTTCTTCTGTCGCCAACACCCCCCACAAGTTGGAGCATGGGAGTTCAACATGCCCAACTTGGACATCAAAAGATTGAACAAAGCAACAAAGCTTGAGGAAGCCGCTGCCATCGATGTCCAAGTGTCATCTAGACACTTCAGTTTTTTTCTTCAACAGAGACGCCAAGCTTTTTGAATCCGCCGAATAATCAGTCGAGTAAAGGAACGAAATTCTTTTTGAACCTTCACCATATTCGAACAAACAGGGGGAACGCCATTCTTTTCGAACACCCTGGACGCCGACTTTTTTTACTGCCTGCTAAGGAAAGAGTTGTCTGTCTTTGTAGAACAACCCTTCTCGGACAACTTCTTCAAGATTGATGGTTGGGCGGGATTCCTCGACAACAATGTTTTTCGTTGAAGGAGTTCATGATATTCTTTAGTGAGAGAGAACAATCAAAGAAAATCAAAAATTACAATATCCCGCCGGTAGGCATTGAATTGTGTATGCTCACCGGCAGGGGAAGAAGCGTGTTTGAGGTCTCAAGAATTCAAAACTTGCTCCGATACCATGTAGAAATTAATAAAAGGAAAAATATTCTATATATTGAATTGGCTTGTGCTTACAAAGGTCTAACCCCCTTTATATAGGAAGAGAGTAAAGCATTTAAGTAAACTTTTATTCCTACCATATTTCTATTCCTACTATAACAAGAACTAAGCAAACTAGGAAAGATACTAAACCGAATCCCAAAGGGATTCAGTTTCCTTCTTTGATCCGGCTTCCTTCTTCTGTCGCCAACATTTTCACTCCAATTTTCCTCCTTTTTGGGGCGAAATTCTCCTCTTTTTTCCTCCAAATATTGTAATCCCTCCATCCCACAAAACCCTTCCTATTTCCTTTTTCATCCGTCTCAAAAACACTTTTCTTTTCCTATTAAAAAGTCACTTTTACTTCTATTATTTCTTAACCTACCTATCACATCACACTTTTTCTCTATTAATCTACTCATCCTATCCTACTTTATCCATCACATCAAAGGGCATTTTTGGAAAATCAACACCAAAATAGACTCCCATTAAATAATTTAAAAGTCAAAATGAGAAGTTTTTTAAGGGACGGAGGGAGTACTAAATTTGTGTTAGTTAATTTTCATCGTCCAAAGTCAATTCTCAAGTTGTTGGAGCATTGTAAGTTTGTCTTTCTTTTTATTATAATCTTTATTGAATTTATATTAATAAATTATCATTTTGTTTATTTGACATATATTCTTGATTAATATGCCTTTGAGAATTATATTAATTATTATGATAGTGTTGAATGCTTTATTTGAGATTATGAATTGGTTATTTTGAATGGGTTAGGATTGGGAATAAAGATTTAACCAATTTAACTTTATCTTTTAATTAATAATTAAATTAATTGATACAAAATGAATTAATCTTTATTAATTAATAGAATTGTTTATATTATTAATTAATCATTGGAAATTAATCTTTTATCTTGTCTATAAGGTAAGAAGATTAATCAAGACGCACATTCCAAACACCTAGAAATAGGCAGGGTTAGAAATCACCGTTGGAATGATTTTAACTAATTAATATATAGTAGTAAACATTTTAATAATTAAATAATTGAAAAATAGCTCTTGCCTTGTCTATGATGATTTATAATTACTTAAGTTGGACATTTTCTAGCACAGTATTGAGACCTAGAAATAGGAGATGTACTGGAAATGTAATAATCTTATAATTTAATACTGAGACCTAGAAAGAGGAGATGTATTAAATATAAGATTAATATACGCTGATAACCACAAGCTGAATGCTGGATTTTGAAAGCCGAACACGGCCTCAGAAAGCCAAACACCGAACGTTGTGGTTTTTGGTTTGAATGAATGCCAAGTGTTTTGGGCTCCAACAAAAACATGTTAAAATCTACCTTTCGTTGTTTTTCTTTTAGCAAAAACCATGTGAAACGGCATAAACTTGGCTAGCCATGGTTTTTACCTTAATGGCGTAGTTTTTAAAAAATTTCACTTGGTTTCTTATTCAAATGCATTAAATAAGTGTTTTCAACACTTGTTTTTCAAATTGGAGAATTTTGATTTTTGACATCGGCTTTCGGTGTTGACCGACTGGCCATGGTTCTGGCGAACTAGCCCAACAGCGATGTTGGACATACAACAACGCTGTTTGAGGTTGCACTTGAAAACCATGGTTTGGCAGAAAGTTTCCTAACAGCAATGTTGGAAAGTGAACATCGATGTCACGCCAGAACCTTAGCAATGTTGAGAGCCAATTTTGTGAAGTTTTTGCTGTGTTTTTGAGCGATCTTATTTTTACTCATTATCTACTCTTAAGGAGAGTCCTGTTCTTGAGTGCTGAAGTGTTTCATACACTTGAAGGGAGGATTGTTCCCTTGGTTGTAAGAAGAAAGTGTGTGTTCCTTCGGGTTCGATGTCTTGGAGTGTTTGTGACTCCAAGCAAGTGTCGTTGAGGCTCGTGGTACTCGGGTTCTCATATTGTACCGGTTTGTTAAGCACCTTGAAGCTTAACGGAGTTGGTAGGACGTGACTTTCGAGAGAGTCTCTCGTTGGACTAGATGTAGCCACACGTTGTGGTGAACCAATGTGAATCTTGGTGTGCCTTCTTACGCTTTCATTCTTGTCATATCGTGTTTAGTTTTGTAGAACTTTTGGTGTAGTTTTGAACAATATAATTTGCACTTTTTTTTAATCATATACCAATTTATAAATAAAGTAATTTTAAAAAAGATTATAGTTTGCATATTTTTCAAAATAGAGAGTTTATTGTTGGACGGGGGGAGTATTATTCTACAAGTTACATCATATATCTACTACTACCCCCGTCCTGGAGTATTTGTCCAGTTTTGACTTGTTTCAGTCAATCTTTTTCAACTTTTGACCAAAAATTAAATAAAATATCTATTTTATATTAATTAGATAAAATAATATTTTGAAAATATTTTATATTATAAATCAAATAAAAATGTTTCTATCAATACCTATTATTTTTTTAAATTTATAGTCGAATTTTACTAATTTTGACCAAAAAAAGTTAAAAGGGGACAAAATACTTCGAGACGGAGGAAGTATATTCTAAAAAGTCAGGGGTAATATAAAAAAGTTAACAATAAAATACACTTTGGAATTTGTGAAAAGTGAATATAAGAATAGTTTTTAGAGAAAGATGGAATATATACGTGAGAAATTATTTTTTTCATTCCACATTAATTTAAAAAAAAACTGATTGAAAAATAATTTCAACCATTTCACACGTCATAATTAATTAAAGAATAATTTACCTATATAGGACTAAAACATAATGAATTTTTCAATATAGGACTATATGTTTTTATTTCCCAATGTAGGACCATTGGTTATTATTCAACTAAATGTCCCCTATTCGAGCGACTCCCGTTGGTCGTACGTTGGTCGTACCTCTTCGAATGAGTTGAACATAGTTCAACGAACTTAATTAAACCCTTATGAACTTATGAGTAATGTTGTTTTGAAAAAAGGAAAAAAAGGAGTAACATTTTCTTATAAAACGGTCATATCTTCATACTCCGTATTTCATAGATATGCATGCATGGAAACAAGCTAGGGGTATGTAGTGACATAATTGGCTTTTTAGCAGCCATTTTGAAAGTTATTGAAGATATAAAAACATACACTATAGGAATTGTAACTTTCTTAGTGTTATTCTTTAATACGTACGCATAATAAATAGTAGTGATGAACCATTTCGATCTGTATATATATATATAGTTTCGCCCTCAATCAATGCTCTTCAGCTCCCAGCGGTCAACCTTCTTCTCAGCAAAGTCAAACTTGGGACGCCGCATTGGACCCTCCATGAACGCCGCCGCCGGACGAGCAAAGCCATCAACCGTCGTTTCATCAAATCCGTAGCTTCCGCCGCCGGAACCACCGCTCATGAACTTGTGATAATGGATCTCATGAGATTCAGGCACGAACGGCAGCTTTCTCATCGAGTAGTAGGGTTTGCCACCATAGTGGTGGCGGTTGTCGTCGTCGTAGTCCCCGCCGTCGTGGCACTGCTCCGTGCCACCGTAGTAGTGGTGGCTACCGGAGGCGTACTTTTTGCCGCATGCGTCCTTGGGGTTCAGTTCATAGTGACCGCCGCCATGCTGGGGGACAGGGTAGCCACCACCGCCCCCACCAGCAGACACGGCGGTCACGTGGTGTTGCGGGGCGGAGATGAAGTACTCGTGGTTGGTGTCATCGACGGGGTTAAAGTGGGGGCGGGGATGAACCAACTGCATGCTGGTAGAGTCATTGTAGGAATAGTAGTAGTCTTCTTGTTTCTCATAGGGCTGGGCTTGTTGCCTGTAGCCAAAGGCTGCAGGGTAAACCATGTCACTTTGGAAACCCATTTTCTTGATTGTTGTAAAGTTGGAAGTTGGTAAAGGGTTTGAGTGAATTTATAGTGTTTGTAATTTGATTCCAAGAAGATAAGATCGAAAGACAGTTTGATTCTTGCATAATTTGGGTGCGCCACATTAGATAGTGAGAATGCAAACACCTAATAATGGTCTAGCTTGAAGTAGTTTTTTCTTTTTTTGGAAACATCAAGAGTTCTCTTTTTAAAGTCCCACAAGTTGATACTAAAATATTCTCTCTTTTCCAAAAAGTCTGTCCCGTTTTGAAAAAATTGCGTCCCTTAAAATCCGTTTCATATCTATTAAAAAACTACTTTTACTCCTTACTTTTTCATACCCTACCTATCACATCATATCTTTATTCTAATAATCTACCTCTCACATTCTACTTTTATTCATCACATCAAGGATATTTTTGGAAAGTCAACACCTAAATATTCTTCCTTATTTTATTACTTTAGTCAAAATGAGACAAACTTTTTGGGACGGATAGAGCAATATAATTGAGGTGCATAAGTAGATCTAGACATGGTTTTAGCTAGGGAGGGTGAATTCGAACATTGGTGATAGAGATGAGAATAGATTGGGAAAAAAATTTAAATATAGCTCCCTCCGGTCCTGAAGACTTTTTCTGCTTTGACTTTTTTTATTATCAAAATAGTGATACTATTAGACTACAAACTATGAAAAAAGCATATTTAATTACAATAAAAAATCAATATAATTAGATTTATCTTAAGATATACTTTTGATAAATCCAATTTTTATATGATTTTTAGATTATATTTGATTTCTGATAAAAAAATGTCATTGTTTGATAAAAAAGGCAAAATAAGAAATATTTTTACAACCGAAAGGAAGTAGAACATAATCAACAAACTACTTTATGTCAGCTTATCAAGATTGTAAAATAAATATAATTAGAAGAATGTGATTCCATCATTCCATATTAGACTTGATCAAAGGAGAGCAAATGTACTCCCTCCCGAAATACTCCCTCCGTTTCATAAAACTCTTCCTCTTTCATTTTTTTGTTTTTCTTAAGACACTTTCTCTTTTTATTAAAAAACCACTTTTACCCCTATTTTTTCATACCCTACCTATCACATCATATTTTTCACTAACAACTAAACTATCACATCTTACTTTTACCCATCATATTAAGGGCAAAATTGGAAAGTCAACTACAATTTAACAATTCTTTATTTTCCCCCAAAGTCAAAAGAGGAACTCTTTTGAGAAACGGAGGTAGTACTTTGTTACGGATTTGCTGGTCACAATTATTGAGCGAGCCTATTTTCAATACAATTTCTATTAAAATTTGTGTAAATTAAAAAATTAAATTTATATATTTAAGTACTGTACTACATACTCAGTAAAACTTTCGAGAAGTCAATCTACTTTCGGGTAAAAGTAAGGTCTGTCTAAACACGCCCTTCCCGAACCATACTTCTATAGATTTAGCTGGATTGTTGTTGTTCTTCGTGTTTCATAAACTGTAAAACAAAATATCAGTGTGAACTATTAAAATGCTAATGTGATTATTTCAATGATACAAAATATCAGTATAATTTTTTTTATTGAACTAGCATTTTGTACCAGTGTGAACTATTAAAATATCAGTGCATCTTTTTAGAGTACAACTTAGGATACATTTCTTGATGTCTCCTAACATGGTTGTTGTTCCTATATCAAATCCCACTTTACTATTGTAATTATTTGTGATATTGATTCCAATAGATTGAAAACCATCATTGATATTGATATATTATTGTCAAAATTAGACCTGGCATGAGAATGCGAAAGCGAGGTTCTTGAGTGGTAGAAAGTTCACTTCACAAGATTAATGAGAAAGTTCAACCGTGTTCGAACCCTATTAAAGACATAGTCGTTGACTCTTTGTGCGTCATTATGTTAGAAATAGTATCAACAGATATTACATTATGATAGAATAAATTAAAAAATTATTTTGTCATATATGGGAGTGGTTAATTGCAAAAATTTATATATTGGGCCTTATTTTGCTTTGTGCAAGTATTGGTACAGTAAAATTAGTGGTAAATTTGATTTTTAAAAATCATTTTTATAATACTAGATATAAAACTATAAATTTATACATTGACAAAAATTTAATTTAAAAATATCAAGCAATTAAAAAATGAACATATAATAACCCTAAAATTTGGAGGCCCTGTGGACAGAGACCCTCGAGACCGCCCATGAATCCCATGATCAAGTCCATTTAATATTATTGAATCCCATGATCCAGCCCATTTAATATTATTATTGTGGATAAAAACCATCATTCATTTGCTATAGTTAAAGTTTAATACTCCCTCCGTCTCAAAAAGATTTACATGTTTCAAAAAATTGCGTCTCACAATCCCTTACCTATTTCTATTAAAAAACTACTTTTACCCCTTACTTTTTCAAATCCTACATATCACATCATACCTTTTTTCTAATAATCTACACATCACATCATACTTTTACTCATCACATCAATAATATTTTTGGAAAGTCAACACAAAATTATCCCTCCCTTAGTTTCTACTTTAGTCAAAACGTACCCATCTTTATGGGACGGAGGGAGTATATGAAATCGGAAAAAGATTTGGGGACGAAAAAGTAACTACAAATAACAATGATACTGCATTCATTTCATAATACTCCCTCCTCTTTAAAAGATATTCCTGATTTATTTCTTACGCATCCCATAAAATGCTTCTATATCATCTCAAATGTCAAAAAAAAATTCAAAACAATTTCTACTCAAAGTAAAGGAGTAGAAATTAACAATTTCAAAACAATTTCTACTCAAAACATTTTAAATGTGGATAGAAGTGTTTTGCGGTATGCATAAACATGAAATATGAATATCTTTTGGGACAGATGAAGTATGATATTTGAACAAATTTTGGATTTTAATTAAATAAAAAGTTAATGAATATTAATATAAATTTAATTTTATTAGATTTATCTCATTGAAAATATTCTAAATTAATTTCATTATATATATATGTCATGCAAATTAAAAGTAATTTGATTCTAATCCGTTCAATTAATTTCATCATACATGTCATACAAATTAAAAATAATTTGATCTTGGGTAGTGTAAATTAGGTACTCCCCAAGACCCCGACTACCAAAAGCATCTCAAGAATTGAACTAGGAAACGGAACAAATAATCACCGCCGCCGGCAAGGAGGTCTCGCCGGACCATCCGCTCCAAGCGGCTAAGGTTCCGCGGAAGAAGATCGCTGTAGTACAATAGCGTTGTCATTGTGGCCGCCGGCTGCCTCGCCATCGCCGCCGACACAAACACCACCGCCACCAGACACTGCGCGGGGCAAGCAATTTAATAATTACCACATCATAGTACGTACAGCATAACGCTGTATCTATTACTGCATTTAATATTTATTAACTCCGTAATATAATAAACAAAAATAACATGAAAAGAATGTAACAAATTCATACCATGATTCGAATAAAAAGATGGAATATAATTGAGGCAATTGATGTGATTCGGAGCAGCTGCTGCTTAATTATTGAATAAAAAATCAGAGGAATAATGGGTACTGTAAATAAATAAACTGTTTAATTAAGATGAAAAACATTGGGCGTACATATTTTGCATTTTAGGTTATTTACTCCGTATCATTTATTCCATAATATGATTTCACTTGTTCACCAAGAAACTAATCTCGCATGTTATTTTTTATTGAGTAAATTACTCAATTAGGACTAGAACATAGACCTTTTCCCTAAATAGGAGTGGTCTTATGCTACCCAACGTTTCTATATGCGAAAAGACTATAATAGCCTCCAACATAGAATTTAATGAGGAATTTGAAATATTGGAAATAATAATATTGCTCCTTGAATTATGAAGTACATGATAGAATATATATAGAAAAGACTCCTAACACAACTAGGAATAGAGAATGGAAACTAACTAAAATACAACTTCTACCATAACTAGGAATACTTAATATTATTGTCTAACATTCCCCCTCAAGCTGAACTCTGGCTGAAGCAAGAGGAAGCTTGGACACTAGCCGGAAACTGAAAATTTTGAGAAGAGAGAAGTCTGACGTGTGCCGGTGGCTGCTGACGTCGTTGGAGAAGAGAGAAGTCTGACGTGCGCTGGTAGTTGCAGACATCGTTGAAGAAGAGAGAAATTGATGTGCGCTTGTAGCTGCTAACGTCGAAGAAGAAGAGAGAAGGTTGATGTGCGCTTGTAGCTGCTGACGTCGAAGAAGAATAGAGAAGGCTACTTGAAGTGCCTGTTTGACTGAAGATCTTTGACATTCTATGTCTTTTTCTTGGATCCGGGCAATGCCCTATTTCCTTCTTGAAGGGGTGAGTTGTAGAGGTCTTCTTTCCTCTTTCACTACTTCCCCCTCTTGGCTTTGCTTTTGTGCTGATTTACTTTAAATTTTTGTTGGTTGAACAGAAGAGAAAAAGAAGGGAGATTGATGATTAGAATGAGTGATTTGAGAGAGAAAAAAGTGGGTTAAGAATTGTGATGGAAAAAGAATTTGGGTCTTAGATTTTGATATGGTGAATTAGAGAGAAACAACAATATTTTTTTTCTTTTTTTGAGAAGATAGGATGATCTGAGAGAATTTGTGAGGAATTGGGATTTTTTTTTGAAGAACCATGGAGATGATAAGAGATAAGTTCCTCCTTTGATAGTTTTTTTGTGTGATTTCAACAAGGGTTTTTTTTCTTCTTTTTTTCATTTGAGTGGAGAAGTTGATTTAAGGATAAAGAAGGAAAAGAAAATAGAGCTAAGGTGAACAGGGTGGAGCCGCCGCCGCTGGAATTACTAGCGGCGGCGGCGGGAGCAAAGAACTTTTTTTTAGGTCACCATGAGCGGTGGCTCCGATACCATGTTGAAATATTGGAAATAATAATATTGCTCCTTGAATTATGAAGTACATGATAGAATATATATAGAAAAGACTCCTAACACAACTAGGAATAGAGAATGGAAACTAACTAAAATACAACTTCTACCATAACTAGGAATACTTAATATTATTGTCTAACAGAAACACACGCTTTGTACGGAAAATTGTGAAAGAAAAGGCATTAATCTCGGTTGG